ATGTCTAAACTTTCATTTTTTAATGCATCACCTATTATTTTTAATGCATCAACTATTATCATTTTTAATGTATCAACTATAATTTATTGTGCAATTTTAGTCCCAGTTAGGGTATACAGTCTTCCCAGGAAGGAGCAGTACTGAATGATAGACTGTGTATCATGTGAATTAAAGATAGTGGCTTTAAAATCTGACCTAACATTAGGAGCCCTGGGAGGGCTGCTCCCACCACATCTTTAACATGGCAGGGGACAGGCCTTTGGCATTCCTGCTTTGAAAGCCCTCTGGGGTTTTGATGTGCAGCCACTTGGCCTAAAGCTTTGGAATGAAGACAGGATTTAGGAGAGCAAGAAAGGGGGACTCATTTAAATCTCCCAACAAGCAGAAAGGACCAAGGGTCCTCAGTGTTGCAACTCTGGACAGTCCAATGTGCTACTGTGATTTGTTTAGGGTGTAAAACAAATTTAAATTGCATCATAAGCCACTGTTGAATACACATTAAAAAGTAAGGCATCGCTTATATAAATTGGGTAGGGCATTTAATAAATGTGCCCATATTCTGGTGACTTACTCAGGCCTAGGAGGGAGCAGTGAGTTGTTGAATCTAAAATGCTACAATGTAATGTGAAATTATGAAAATATACAATGTAACTAAGTAAAATGCTTGGTCTCAGAGTCTAAGGCTGTAATTTATTTAAAAGATAATAAAAGTGGCATTAAACTGGGTGTCATCTGTAATCACAACAATTGGGAGATTAAGGTAGGAGAATTGCAAATTCAAGCCCAGCCTGGAAAATTTAGCAATTTGATGAGACTTTGTTTCAAAATAAAAAAAATAAAAAGGTCTGGGGATGTAGCTCAGTGCAAAGGCCCTAGGTTCAATACCCGGTACTGCAGATACAGACAAAACAAATATATAAATAAACATATATATGAGTTATATAAAAATGAGTTATATAAAAATGTATAGTATAGGTGACTATATTGAGTGATGAACTGTAGGTACAATGTACATATGCTATATGTGCAATTTTAGGGTTTTGTTTACAATTTTACAATGAAATTTAATAATAAAATTTTAAACAATAGAATATTAAGGAAATTAAATACAATTTTTTATTTACAATTTTACATTACATTGCAGCATCTCCAATCTGCAGCAGCTCACTGCCCACATGTGGGCCACTCCAAACTGGTCCTGCCTCGGAAAGGCTGCACTCAACAATGTGTGTGGGTAAATGTGTGACTGTTCTGATCAGTTTGTCACTCTGTGCATGGCCCACCGACAATTCCACACCAGAGAGCTAACTGGCTAAGTATTAGATGAGTGGTATGAGGATACCACTTACTAGTCTATGTATGTACCCTTTATGATAACAGCAAGGTAAGAAGTACACTAAATGTCCACCCACATGGGCTGATCACTTAGCTGATGGACCATCCTCACAACTAAAGCCAGCACAGACACTGCATGTAAATGGAGACTGTCCATCATACTCACCAGGATTACTGACACTGGAAGATGTCTAGGATGCATGTCTACTAGGTACCACTTTGGTAAAATTATAAATGTATATTCTGCATGGAGCTGTGTTTCCCAAACTATTTTGTGATCCCCAAAATGTTCACGGATGCTCTGAGAACACAGGCCTCCAGCCAGCTTGGGATTCTAGGGATGGAACCTTCTGCTAGATGACCAGGTATCAGAATGTACCACCCACCCACCCACAGTAAAGGGGTGTGGCTGTTGATTAAACAAACACCTGCCCTATGATGAACGTTATCATTACGTATATCAAAAATGTACCAATAAGTGTTTTGCTTAAAAAAAAGTAAACACCTGGTTTTTGAGCATGATCTGCACATACCTGGAAATGGTCTCCTACACTGCCTCCAAGGCATTTATTGCTTTAACAGGAAATCTATAGACTTCCCAAGTCTCCACCTACTTGTGATTACTCATATCCTGTCTACCATAAATTTCCTCCTCTCCACAGGGTAAGACAGATCCTTAATATCTGTTGAGACTGACCTTCTCAAATTTGTGTGGACCTAACAACTACCTGAGGCTCGTCAAACTTAGTTCCCAAACTGGAAGGATGAGAGTCAGCAGGTCCAGGGTGGCGCCTGGGGACCTGTATCCCACACAGGGCCAGGTACTGCTGCCAGCACCTGCAAACCTTACCCTGGAGAGGTGCTCATCAGAACTCCAGGGCAAAACTGAGGGTGAAGTATTGCTCTCCACCTGGGCAAGGAATAGCTATTAGAGGCTTGAGGGAATTTTCTGGGCTGCTGTACCTGGGTGGATTAAAACAACAGAAACTTGTTTCACAGTTCTGGAGGCCAGAAGTCCAAGATCAAGGTGTGGCCAGGGTTGCACTCCCTCCATGACTCTAATGGAGGATTCTTCCTGCCTCTCTACCTTCTGGGGGCTCTAAGCATTCCCTAGCTGCGGCTGTATCAATCTGTTCTCTGCTTCTGTCCTTGTGTCATGTTGTGGTCCTTCTATACCAATGATTGCCTTAGGGCCGTCCTACTCCAGTATGACCTCATCCTAACTGTTAATTACATCTCCAAGACCCTGTTTCTAAATAAGATCCCATTCACATTGTAGATGTGCACATAGATTCTGGGGTACACAGTTGATCCTACCTCAAAGCTCAACATGGGCTTGTCTTCCTTCCATTTCCTAGTATCTGCAAGTTGTCTGGATGCCTCATGGTTCTGAACCTGATGCCTGGATCCTCTTAACAATAGAGCAGAGTTCCCTGGGTGACTGTTCTCGTTTCCCACCTATTGGGGAAAATACTTGAGCTTAGGAGCCCCTTGTTGGCATGCAGAAAGTTTTAGCTACCATGAAAGGCCATAGGGCCTAGAGGAAAAAGGTCTGTTTTTCAGGTCTTTCTCAGAAACTGGCTGATGACCTGAATCCCAAGATCAGCAGACAGCACAAGGCTCATTACGTTTAGAATATGCAGCATTATTTTTGTGTGTGACTTTATCCCATGCAAGATTATTAACTCTCAGAGAATAGAAACCGTATCTTACTAATTTTGGCCTTTTCTGTGTGTATTTTGTGGTGCTGGAAACCAAACCCAGAGCCCATGTCTGCTAGACAAGGGCTCTTTCACTGAGCTACACACTCCAGGCCTTGGGATGTGGTTTTACCTGTGTGTTCTGGGATTCAGAGTGGAGGTGTGACTATGTAGGGTTTTTTGGCTGCCAGCTTTCATCTCTGTTATCTTGTACCCATCATTGTGTTGGACTTCAAACTTCAATATTGATATGGAAAACTGATAACCTATCTTGCACAATACCTGACACATTGTGGTTACTTAAATATTTGCTAAATGAGCGGGTGGAGACTGACTAATCTCTTTCCCTGTAAAGAGGAGGTGGGAACTGCATTGAGCCCTGATGTAACCTTCATGAAAGTCTGCAGATTTCTTAATTGGGGTGTGTGTGGGGGGGGGGGATTAACTGGTGTGGACATATATGCACATATAGTAGTTTACACATCTAGGTGAGATTTGTGGTGCTTAAAGCATTTGCTAATGGATTTATAATCTTCGGTATAAATCCATGGAGCTAGGAACTACTGACTGGTAGTTTGTGTGCACGCCTCTGCCTCTTTGTGGCACATTGGCTACGTGCATGTGTAAACCCAAAAAGATGTGAGATGGTCACTATTTTATTCTCAGATCATCTTCTAGACAGAAGTTATAAAAAACTTCAGATGGTAACAGCTCAACCTTAAATGAGTTATGGCTGCTTCTCAGCAGGGCCTATGTGGTACACGAAGCCAGCCCTACAGCCAGGTCTCTCCACTGTAGGATGGTAGTTTAGTACTATGCTACTTCTTACCAAGTTTTTTTGTGGTTTTGAGGTAACTGTAGATCTGCATCCAGTTACTAAAAAAAAAAGATTGCAAAATGAAAAAGTAGATCTCCTGTGTCCCTTAGCAAGTTTCCCCCACAGTAATATTTTGCAGAACTCTAGCACTGCATGACAAGGAGGACATGACTTCTATGTAATCATCCATCTTGTTCATGCTGCCTGGTTCTCTTGTACTTGTGTGTTTGGGTCCATGTAATTTCATCACACGTGTAGGCGTGTATTTCCATCATCACAGCCAAGATACAGAACAGAATATTCCATCACTGCAAGGACCCTGGTCTTGTCCTTTATAGCCCAACCACCTCCCTCCCACACTGTCTTCAGTATGAACCCTTGGCAACCACTGATCTTTTCACCATTTTTAAAGGTTGGCACTTTAAAGATGTTACAGAAATGGAATTACTGTGTGTAACTGAGGTACCTGTAGCACAGGATACTGCAACTGCAGGTGCCTCCAAGCATGTCCCAGACCCCCGTGTTCTAGAACTGCTTGGAAATGCAACAGAAAGAGGAAAAAGCAAATTTTCTTTCTTTTTAGATGACTAATTTCTCACATCTTGATCTCCACAGAAGATCTTGAGAAGCAATGTATGGGCTGAGGAAGCCCAGGCACAAGCTTCCCAAAGATGGCACCCAGGGCACATTATTCTCTGGGGAGACCAGCGTACTTGCTGTAGAGTCAGCGATGGTGAAGGTGAAGCTTCCAGAGGGCTTGGAGTCGTCCTCTGTGCTGCTGGCTCCTCTGACTGCAGCATTCCCAGGCAGCCAGAGTCCATCCTGAGGTCAGGTGATACTCAGGAATTCCTCTGTTGTTCTGTAAATGCACACTCTTCAGTTGACCTCACATAACCAGAGGGTGGAGAAGAGGTTCGTCAAATCGTGGAGTACTGATGCCAGTCCAGGCATAGTCCAGCGGCGGTCAGTCAATGTGTCTGCTGAACACCGACTTCGGTGACAGCCTGCGGGCTGCCGCTCTTGGGCACTGGCTTTGGAACGAAGACCCACGCGGGTGGGTGTCCGCTTCCTGGAGGTGAGACTCCCCGCCCCCGCTGAGAGCAGTCGGATTCCTCCAGAACTCAGTGGCCTCCGGACCTGCGAACTTTGGATCTGGGCCAGGGACACCAGCCCACACCAGCTAATTCAGAGAAGGCGTGTAAGAATCCTAGGGTCCTCCGGGGTAGAAGCCTCCTGGATCACCACGAGGGTGGTGTCCGAGGCCCGACGCTGGCTGTGGCGACAGTGCTCCCTCCAGCCACCCCAGGTCTAAGTCCTCCGCTTTTGGTGGCCACTCGCCGCGTCTACATAGCCCCTGGAGTGTCCAGGCTGTGATGACTGATCCACTTGGGCACCTGGCCGGGAAACGTGGCGGCCAGAAAGGTATTTTCCAAACCCGGTCGCCCAGGCAGGGCCCATCACCACAGCCGCCCCTTCCTCCTCGCGCTCCGGGTCAGGACACCTCAGCCCCGCCTTCCCCGCCGCGCTCTAAGAGCCAGCGGCACCGCCCAGCGCGCCGGAGTGGGCGGGACTACCCATCGGGACGCCGCCAGGGGCGGGGTTCCCGCGCGCAGACGGACGAGGACGTGCGGACCCAGGGACGACAGGGCTTCGGTAAGGCGCTTCTGCACGCTGTCGGGGAGCGGGAGCCGCTCGCCACTCCGCCCCGCCTCTCCTCGAGGTTCGCGCAGAGCCGCCCCCGGGACGCTGAGGACGCCGGCGGGTCTCGCGGTCCGGCCCCCGGCCCTGGTCCTGAGGCCCCAGACCTGGCCGCGTCCCCTCCCCTCCCCCACACGCGGCGGCGCTCGCGGCAGTGTCATCCCGCCCGCGGCGGTGTACCCGCTGCTGCCGCACACCCTCCCCGGGCTGCGCGCCCCTCCTTTCGCCCTAACCGCGGCCCTGCGCCTCCTCCCGCCCTCGGCCGTCACCCTACTCCCACTCTTCCCAGCCAGGGCCGTGCACCCGGCGGCCCCCTCCCCGGCTGCCCAAGCAGAAGGCTGGGCGCTGGCTCCCAGGAGGAAGTCGGCCTCGGCTTCCAGGGTTGGGGGTTCGGAGCACCGCTCTCACTGTCTTTCCCAGGCCGTGTCGCGCGGGCCAGCATTCTACCAGGACTTCTTTACTGTTGTTTTCACTTGCCAGGGCCAGATGCTGGAGGATTGCTTAGGCTAGCGGCCACGATGTGGAGGTGACCGTCAGCGTCAGGATCTGGAGCCAGCGAGCGCGCAGGGGCTCGGGCCAGGTGGACGTCAGCCAGCCGGCAGGGCGCCCCGGAGCTCGGCATGGAAGCGGAAGGCTTGGGTTGGCTTCTGGTCCCGCTGCACCAGCTGGTTTCCTGGGGGGCCTCTGGGGCCATAGTCTTTGGAGGGGTGGTGCCGTACATCCCGCAGTATAGGGACATCCGGAGAACTCAGAATGCAGACGGTTTCTCTACTCATGTGTGTCTGGTGCTACTGGTGGCCAATATTTTACGGATCCTCTTCTGGTAAGTTGGGGACTTTCCTATCTGGGAGCCTTCTGCGAGAGAGAGTTTTCTCCTTGGGGTTTCAGCTGGAACGAGGGCTGGGGGTGAAGGTGTTTCATTCCTCTAGAGAATCCATTCTATACCTTCGGTTGCAGCTAGCCAGTCTTGCAGCCCCAACAGAGCCACTGAACTTCTTGGGATGAAATTTCCCTGGAAAAGGTGGAACTGAGGATCTCAAATTTAATCTTCAGATCTGCCTCTTTATGTAATGCTCTGCTTCCCTTCATCTGGTACTTCCTGGGTCCCTGCGCCTTAGTTTCCAGTGGGAGGGGGGGAGTGAGAAGACAATAAAATGAATAAGGGTAGCAGAGAGGTTCTCCTGGGATATCAGTGGAGAGGGGCATCCTGGCCAGCCCTTCTCACTGCCTTCTTGTGTGACTGTTTCTTAAAGTCAGATTTTCTGTCTAGTACTCAAATGGAGACAATTTTTTCTTGTTCCTCTTGGGCCAACTTCCTCTTATTGATATTTGCATTCTGATAAGGAAATTGAAGTTATTTTCTTTGTTTTTTTCTTCCGAGGTACTGGGGATTTAGGGTTAGACCCCTGTTTTGTTTAACTACAGTTTAAAACATTTTCAAGATTCTTTCCTCCTCCTTTCCCCTGGGCTAAGGGTGGTTCCTTCCTTCCTCCACCCTGCATTCACAGGAAAGACAAAGGAAATGGTGAGCATTTCAGCTGCTACACAGAGATTCATGCTTTCAGCCACCTTGTGTATTCTCATTGCCACATGACTATGGCTTGGTGCACTGAAGTGGCATGAATTAAGTCTAAGGTTGAGTGGAAGCAGATCCCTAAATATAACTGTCTAAAACTGTTGTTTACTTTGAGCACAGGAAGTAGGGGGCAGGCCCTCAGGCAGACTGCCCATGCCAGCCCAGACCCAGTGTTCAGGTTGTGAAGAAACATTGTGCTTATCTTGAGGATTATGGAATAAATTTCCTCCAAAATAATGGAGAACTTCCTGAGGTTAGATTAACATATGGGAAGACGGTCTACTTAGAGAGTTTTCTTCCAGTGTGCTTATTGTTTAAAATTGTAAAGAAAATAAAATATATATTGTACATCTGAGTGTCTGGTTTGGAGAGGTCAGAAATGAGGCCAGTGTCCTGGAGTTAGCTCATGACTGGTCCTGGTGCTCCCAGTGGAGATGGTCACCAGGGCTCATCTTCGGGGCCCTGTGCTGCATGGGTGTAGAGGTCCTCTTGCTCCAAGGCTACGTGATAACCCGTTTATCCTTTTTGGAGCCTCTTGCCGCTGCCATCCCTGCTGACCTCCAGGCTCCAGGTCAGCAGTCTCTTTGATTCAAGGTTTTTAGAGTTTTCCATGTGCCAGACATGGCCTGAGGCCATGGGTTTGTGCTTTAGCAGGAGTGTAATACACTGAACATACCACGTGCACGTGCATCCCCCTCATGTGTACATATAGTTATGGGTTGGGAGTAGTGGAGCAGGGAGAGTTGATTGGGACTGTGGCAGGCCTCAGGTGAGCTGGTGGCTGCCTCCACCACAGGACAGTTAGAATCTTCAGTGGCTTCCCAGTGCTGGCTGGGTCCCACACCTCAGAGCTCCAGGCCTTTCAGAAAGGAAAGCATCGTAGCCTTGTTGGTTTTATAGTTCTGTAGGAAGGGGCTGATTTAGCTGTAAACTTGGGGGTTTAAAAAAATTTCATAACTCATACCCTTATTTTTTACATTCCTCCTTTGGCAATGCACTACATGCAGTCAGGATTTGACATTTGTGGCATCAGAAGCCAGCGGTAGGCCAAGTGATCCTTGTGGCTAATGTTTGCAGGGTATGATTACATAGAGGAGAAGCAGAGAGGGGCCAGGTAGGTGAGTGAGGAGGGTGGGCAGCAGGGCTGGGTCCTAGAGCCTTAGACTCTCACCAACAAAGTTCTTAGGCTTCATGTCGGTGGGAGGCAGGAAGGGTGAAGGTTGACTGCTGAGCCTCTGCCATTGCTGGCCAGTGCGCTTGTCTATAAGAAGGAAAATACTGCATCTGAGAGGCAGGAACAGTCTGCTCCTGAGGTGATAGCTGTAGTGTTGCATGGGAGCATAGCTTCTTTTCCATCCAGCTTTTCTCTGTGGCCTCCCAACACCTTAGGCTTATGGTCTGCCCCTCACAGGTGAAGAGACAGAGGCTTGGAGACGGTGGGTTCCAGGTACCTAGGCCCATGGACAAAAGCATGGTGACCAGAGCTACCTGTGGGCAGAGTGCATAAGCCTGCTGCACCCCGACTTGTGCTTCTGGCCTAGAAACCCCTGTCATAACTACTGTACCTCTTGCCAGGTGGATGCTGTCTTGACCTAGTGTTTGGCTCATCAACCCTGTCTTGCTTCAGTCTGTTTTGGTTCCTTACCTGGTATTTCCTGATGGCCTCATGGGGAGGGGCACTGATGAAGCCACAAGATTCTGGGTGATATTTCCTGGGGATGCAGCTGGTCTACTTGTCTGTACCTGGCCCCTGCAACCACCTAGTCCTAGATTTCTCACTTCTCTGCTTTCCCTTTAGCTCCCAGAACTTCCTTGGCCTCAGGTAGCTGCTTGGTCCTTTGGGTTCACAAGCTCCAAGGAGGCATGTGGAGACCATGGCTGCAGGGTGCTCATGATGGAATCTGAGGATTCTGTCTTGGCTTCCCACACCCCAGGAGAAGATCTGGGGCTTTCCTGGTTACCTGTTGACGGAACTGCGCTTGGCAGTCTGCCCCTCTTTGAACCACACCTCACTTGGTATGCTAGCTGACGTGGGCTGGGAGCTCGTACCCCAACAAGTTCCCATCAGAGGAGCATGATTGCCCCCAGAGACTTCAGTGAGTTATGATTCACTGGCAGTGAATTACATCTGTGAGCTTGCAGATGCTGACTGGTGGTACTTGGGTGAATTGGGGGTCAGTTCTCTGCTCTGATTGTACAGTTTTCCTTATTACCTAAGCAGATCTTTCAGACACACTCTTTGAGGGCTGTAAAACCAGGTTGTGTCTACTTTTGTCTTTTATAAATTGCTGGCAAAAGTGTTAACACTTAAGTTTTGTGAACTGCTTTTTTGGTTTTAATTTATGGTGTGATTTTGGCAGGTTCCTTGTCACAGTAGCCAGGTTGAAGGTTCAGTGGGATGCTTTCTCCAGAGCAGGCTTGGAACTGTCTTTGAGTCAGTGAGACCTGAGGGCACACTTGTCTGAGCTATGGGGTCTTGTGCCGCTTCCACCTTGTGTAGATAAGAGGCCACGCCTCTGGCCACAGTGGGTACCAAAAACCCTCCCAGGGGCCTCTTTCACCAGCTGTGGCTTGAGACCTGGCTGGGGAAAGGTTCCCATGGATATGCTGGTAGAGGCTGATGTCTGGCTTCCCTCCTGACATGTGGTCTCTTTACCTCTTCAGGTTTGGAAGGCACTTTGAGTCACCCCTCCTTTGGCAAAGCATTATCATGATCCTGACCATGTTACTGATGCTGAAACTCTGTACTGAGGTCCACGTGGCAAATGAGCTGAACATAAAACGCCGCTCCTTTGCAGGTTGGTGGTTAACAACTTTTGAAAATAAAGTCTTACCATATCAACGAACAAACTTGTCTCTTTTATTTGGTGAAATAAAAGCCACTTTAATGTTATCTAAGCAGCTTTCATTTCACCAAGTGGTGACTATCCATAATTGACAGTATTTTCAGCATGTTAGATGACTGTACACATTTTGTAATAGTGAATAATTCACAATTAGAGTTTGTGCATTGGAATTTGGGTGAAGTATTAACTCATCTTTGCCTCCTCCTCTTTCATTGTACTGATGCTGTATGAGAACCAGAAGTATGCTTCTGTCTGCAGCTTGGCCCTGTCCTGTCACAGAGAGATGTTGCTTGAGAAGGAAGTTGATTGCTGACTATGTGTGTGGTTTGTATGCAGGTCACCCTTTCAGCTTTATCATTAGCCATATCTATCCCACATGCCTTGTTAAATGTACACCATTCATGCTTTGGTAGGTCCAGGTTTCTCCTTTACCTGGAGTGCACATATATAGGATGTGCATACTCTGCAGTTCTATAACCAGGATGGACAATTACAAGCTTTGCAAGTACTTATTAACACATGCCGCTCCTTGACTTTTGGCAACGCAGAACGTAGAAAATAATTTTTCCTGTTTTTGCCTTTTGCCTTGTAAAAATTTCTTCCAATCTGATGTTCTGTATTTGAACTTGCAGACTTGTAGGCTTCTCATACAGAGGATTAGAGCTTTCCTTGTTTTTCCCTTCTAATTACTGAATGCAAGATTGTGTGTATGTTTAATCTCAGCAGTTGCTTAGAGAACTATTTCCCCCAGTTTGTGTAGGTTGGGGGACAGTGGGGAGCTGGAATCTTGTTGGAGAATTGGTGGTCCTATATTTTTATTCCTGATCATTATTTTCTTCCCATTGGATAGGTTCTTTTCTTCTCTATTTCTGTGTGCATCTGTTTGTAGAGTGAGGTGAACAGTGCCAGTTTCAGTCTTTGTAGAAAGTGGGTCAGCCTCTTGCTCTGATGAGTTGTGTGGACCAATTGGTGTCATTTTTACTATAAAAGTGAACACTAATATCTGTTTTTGGGTATGTTTTATCCTTTCTCCTTATTAGTGCCATCTCTCCTCTCCTCTGAGTACTGTGTTCTCTGCCTTCTGGTTGCAATTTGAATTTAAATTATGCCAGAGCTAATGCTGCTTTATGTTGCCAGTCCTGCCTGGAAAGCAGAACTTTGTAAGCTGCTCAAGAGACTGTGCAACAAAAGGAGCTGTGATTTCACATCTCTGCTCAGATAACTGGGGCTTGCTTCTTGTACAGCTTTGCCCCTTCTCCCTGTGCCCAGGCTTCTTCCTGTTTGGATCCATGCTCCTCTGATCCTTGGCCGTAACACGGGACAGGATGTCCTAACTGGCTGCAGGAAGGCGGTGTCCTTCAGTCATCTTCTCATGTGGTCTGAAGGCTGAGAGGCATTTGTGCCCCAAATGCCTTGTGACCTGCTTGATGTTTGTGCTGTCCCAGGCTGTAAAAAACAGCAGGTTTTGTGACCTTGTTTGAAAAGTCACGTGTATGCCTTGATGGTGACCAATACCAGATATCACATACAGCAAGTTTGTATGTCTTAGATATTGTAGCAAATCTAGAGCTAAATATTTATTTCCCTTTTGGAACCTGCACTGTACACTGCGTTTTGTCTGACCTTTACTAGCAGGTGCAAGGAGAGGAGCTTCTTAAGCATAAAGACATGCCAACTTCCTGAAGCCTCAGCAGAGGGGAGTCTGGACAGGAAAGCAAGTGGTAATGGGTTTCTAATAGTGAATCCTACTTTCCAGGACTAGGGCTGCAATCTGATTTCTTAAGAAATGATGGGTAGAATAATGGCCCCAGAGATGTCCATCTAATCCAGGGATCTTGCATGGCAAAGGGACTCTGCAGATTGATTTAGGTTAGGGACCTTGAGATAGAGACATTGTTCTGGATTACCCATGGGGACTTGCTCCAAAGAGGAGGCAGGACCCTACACCTCTTGAGTCCTGGCCTCCTGTCTGGGCCTTAAATTCTCTCCTAAACCTTATATAGGGACAGCTGTGTCTCAGAATTTTTGGAATTTACATCTTTGGTACTTTTAGTATTTGAGTACAATTAAAATTTAAATAATTCCATGTCCTATTTGTGTAAGACATGGGCCCCCATATACCTCTGAGGTCATTTTTAATGAAATGTGTGGATTCATTTCCTCCTGTATGCCAGGAGTGGGGAGGGGTGGGTGTAGGAAGACCAGGAAGCTCAGGCCAGCTTCTGTGGTGTCAGCCCACATCTATGTCAGTCCTGCATTTGCTTGGCTGGTGTGCTAGGAAGGTGGCAGCTTCATTTTCCTGCCAGTGGCTTCACTTCACAGGAAGCTTGTTGGTTCTGAACACATTGTCACCCTAAGAATGAGGATGCCCTGGGGTGGTGCTGTGAGCCTTGGGAAACTGACCATGAATATAAGGATAATATATGAAGAAACTTTTGAATAGACATATTTTCATTGTTCTCATTGGACAGCTAGCCTAAAAATAAAAGTTTAGGGGTGGGGGATTTAGCTCAGTAGTTCCACCGCCTGCCTTGCAAGCGGAAGGATCCCAGTTCGATCTCTGGTACCAAAAAAAAAAAAGTTTAAACATTTCCCAGCTCTTTTTTTTTTTCACCTTACTGGTAATGGGAGTTGAATTCAAGGCCTTTGGACTGAGTTATATCCCCAACCAACCCTCCCTCCCTCTCTCTTTCTTTCAAGACAGGGCCTCGCTAAGTTACTCAGCTGTCCATACGGGGGTTGAACTCGAGATCATCCTATTTCAGCTTCCCAGAGAGCTGAGATTACAGGTGTGCATTGCCATGCCTCCTTCCAGCTGTCTTTTACAGTGATTTTTAAATTTAGAAGGTCAATTTAGTTTGCAAGTAAGAATTAAAAGAATTGTAAATGAAAAGGAAGTTTTAATTTACAAATTAAACATGCAATTGTTTAATTGTTGTCTGACTACAAAGAACATGTAGATTGCATGTTCATTGTACACGTTTTGAAGAAGTCAGGAATGTAAAGTGAAAGTAAAATAGCTTCTGCTAGTCGTATTGACTGCTTTGAACATACTGGGTACACTTTCTAAGTTTTATCCTTTTCAGTCCTTGACCCGTCACAAAATTTGCATAATTTTCAACATTAGAATGAAGTTGAAAGTAACTCATTCCACTGAAACTTTTCCCCAGTCCTCTGCTCGTGTAGTGGTGGGGAGGGCACAGAGCCCAGGGTGTCCCCTGTGGGGCAGTGGCAGAAGACGCGCTTGTCTGTACGTTGGAGAGTGAAGCATCTCTCCTGAGTGTGGTGGGTGGGGATGTTTCTGTTACTGCTTTTCATTTGGACTTTTAATTATGGAAAATTTTAAACATTTACTGAACTGGAGAAAGAGTAAAATGAAGCCCCATGTGTGATTGTGTAATTAAGTCTCCCCCTGGCCGAACCCCATTTCACCTCCTGTCCTGCAGGCTTTAAAACAAATTTCAGTTATTACTGTGTTGTAAATGGTTCATAGGCCTCCAGAAGGTAAGGGCCGTAGGAAGCACAGTACCATTGGTACCCATAAGAAATGCAGTCCCTTATTATCACCTACCCATTTGTGTCAGATTTCTAATTGTCTCTTGTATTTTCTATTTCTTTTGCTACTTTGTTTTCTTAAATCAGAATCCAGACGCAGGCATACTGGCTGAAAGGTCTTCATTTATCAGTTTTGTTGATGAGTGTTTTTGTCTTCTAAAATTGTCTTTGTTTTTTGTGGTACTGGGGGCGTTAACCACTGAGCTACATTCTGGTCCTTTTTTTTAAATTTTGAGACAGGATCTCACAAAGTTGTACAGGGAATTCTTGAACTTGTGATCTTACTGCCTCAGCTTCCTGTGCAGCTGGGATTACAGATGTGTGCCATTGCACCTGGCCAATTTAGGGCTTCTTGATCTGTAGGTGTTCCCCAATCCTCTTTCTCTGTGCACTGTCAGCTGTGGGCTGGGGTTTGTCTGCTGTACTTGGCTCCAGCCACACTCCAGAGGCAGAACCACAGACCCCAGCACTGAGGGTCTGGGCGGGCTGTGTTTTGGAAGCCCATTGTGGAGGGGGCTTGATCTGGATTCTGTAAATGGAGCCCATGGAATTTTTTTGTTTTTGTTATTTTGAGACAGGGTTTCGCTATGTAGTTCAGGCTGACCTTGAACTCACTATGTAGCCCAGGCTGGCTTTGAATTTGTGGCAATCTTCCTGCCTCAGCCTCCCAAGTGCTAGGATTACAGGTGTGTGCCACCACGCCTGGCTTTAAAAAGAATTTTTTTTTTTTTTTTTTTTTTTGCCACCAGGATTCAACTCGTGACCTTGCGCTTGCGCAGCAGGCAGCAAAACCACTGAGCTAAATCCCCGGCCCCTAAAAAGAATTTTAAAGCAGTTGGAACCAGAGGCTGATTCCACCATTTGTGATTCTTCCTGGTTTTGCAGGACTGCTATGTTCTTCCAGTATAGATGCTGGGTTGTCTGTCTGGAGATGTGGACAGCTGTGGAGTTTATGCCACATCCATTATTTGTTTGGGCTGTCCTTGTTCACTCTGCTTGCTGGAGAGCCTCTGGGCAGGGAACCTCCCTGGCTCCATTGCTCAGCTTTCCAGGGGCATAATTTATAAAGAAAGACAGGTCTTTTTCCTCAGTCTGTCTCTTTATCAACTTTCAAATTTGTAGTGTAAGACCGAGGGCCTTACCAAACGCTCCGAGGAGCTGACTGCAGCGAAGAGCACCCAGGAAGGAACACACCGGACAAGTTGGAAAATAAAACAGACCTTTATTAGTCTGACCAGACGGCACTCCCAAAGCAAAATAGCTTAGAGAGGCAACTGGCTCAGAGTCCGAGGCTGTTTTTTATAGGGGGTTGAGGGGGAAGTTAACATATAGAATTAAAGAAAAGGGGACAAAGGTTGGTGGTCGACTGTCACGTATTTATGGTCAGCAGACATTTG